CAGCCTTTGCCGTATATTCTACACACTCCTGAAGTCTGGGCCTTCTGTTTAGGTTATCTCTAGTAAAAAAACATTGTTTCTAAGAACACCTAGGCTATATTCCCTCTTTTGATGACCTTGTCTACCACAATTAAAACACCTGACATTTAGTTTTCCTTCAGGAAATCACCTCTCCTATCCAAGTATCATCATGAGCATGAGATTCAAAATCGATGATATTTCAGATCCCTTCATCTATGGGCATTGATCACATCGTTAAAGGCCTGATTATCCCTTTGCAATGTCAATTAGCATGTTCAAAAGTGAAAGATTCAATTAATATTAGTCTAACTTCTGGATCAGATATCATTCTATTTACAACTGGAGTCAATCTTTGCAAAAAAACACTTAAGTCTTCTTTTGGGCCCTGTATAATTTTGGTATATGACTCAGTCCTATTTCTAACTTCTTCAACGCTGTCCCAAGCATTCAGAGTTGTTGTATGGCCTAGGGCCAAGATGTGTTCATCATAAATAGACTGTCATTGCAAACCAGCATAATAGCCTTCATGAAGAAGTTGATCTTAAGAAATTCTAAGACCTCTGGCCCTGCTTAGTTGTTCTACAACCCTGGCCTCGTCTTTCCACCAAATCTTCTATTATAACAGAGGACCTACTTCCAATACTGCTGTAACTAAATCTTTCCAGTCTTGTGAAATAATCTTGTTACTAGTTGTTCATCTATTTAACATCTGCCACAGGAAAGGTTAATGCATAGCATATGAAACTATTGCTTCCTTAATTCTCCTCAAACCTAACATTTGCACAGGATTCCAGTAAGCTCCTCCATAGCCTTGGGGATGCCTGTCATTTGGTGATTTTTCCTGTATGACGACTGGATAAATTAAAGTTGTTTTTCCGGTAACTTTGGGACACTCTTCTTCAATTTCTTTTTTTTTTTTTTTTAGTAATTTTATTAAATTATAAAAAGTTTCCATTTACGCCCCTCCTCCCAACGCCCTCCCACT